ATTAGAATGTCTGATACTTCACGAACCATACCCATGGCCACGTCTTCTATTTCTTTCTCATTCCAGTCTAAATACACTTAATTTACCACTAGACACAGCTGAGAGTGCTATTGAACTATTTACTATTCTGCAAACGAATACTACACTTGAAACTCTAAATGTGGAGATAAAGGAAGAGAGAGTATATACCAGCAGTATGGGTACTAGTCTACAATACATGCTAACACAAAACCAAACACTCAAATACTTCGAAATTAATAATGACATTCCCAGTTCATTCCTGTCCTTCCTAACAACTGGTCTCAGACACAACACCAGTATCAAGCACTTGAATGTATACATTCCATTGAACACAGGAGTGACGTATTTTATTGAAGCAATTTCAAAAAAGGATAACCTCAAAGAAATTAATTTGAACTTCATACTAGAGCTAGATCAGTCACACAGCTGTAGTGAGGAACAAAGAATGACACCATTGTTTTACGAGCATTTACTACCTGCTATTACCAGCATGTTACAATCTCATACAACCATCATAGAACTGAGGATAGGATGTACACACATCAATGGAGACTGGTCCGAACCTCACTGGATAGAACCAGTAAAAAAATTATACGATACTATCTTCATTCATCCTTCCCTTGAATATATCGAATTCAATAACAATCGTACAGCCCGGTTTACTCATCGTTCCCTGGAGGATACTCTTAGAGATCAAGAGATGACATTGATTGAGAGATGCAGGAATGAGCAACCAGGCAAACCACTACCAATAGTGGACCTTAATATAATCAAATTAAATTAAACTTAAAATACAACAATTAAATGCTGCTATTAGTAACTAGTGAGTGAGATAGTAAAAACAAACAATAACTAGTTTGTGTGTGAGATACAGACATGGGGTCTAATAATTTACTATTACTATTAGCTATTACTATTACCCCATGTCTGGTGAGATAGTTAAAAAAGAATTAGAAACTTATCATTTCATTTTAAACAAGTTATTTTAGTTTTAAAAAAGAATTATCTTTCAATCAAAATTTTGTGTACATTCCATAAGAGATTTTACTAGTCAAATAGTTATAATACTTGTTGAGAAGGAAAGTGATCCAGCACTTTTTTGTCCAACTCTTCCTTGCCCCACACCAACTCTCAACTGCAAAATCTTTGAAACTGAAAGCATACAAGTGTGTTGTATATGTGCAGTTAAAACAGGTCAGTTTTTGAATTCCACTTATTCTATATTAAAGATTGACCTGGAAATAAGAATTAAAAAGAAATAAAATTATGTAACATACATGCTAGTCACCTACATGCATAATTAAACATCTATAACTGAAACATGCATTATGAACTCACTTGTAAGGACAACATGCAAGCAAGTAAAAATGACATAGGTGTCTTTCAAACACTGCAATATGGTTTTCATGTAAGTCAGGCTAATTTGTTAGTCATAGAATGATGCCTTGAAAAAAAATTTATTAAAATTGACATTGGACACTTTAATTTTTAATGAGTGAACTGAATACACAATAGGACATAGGTCCTTTTGCTTTGTTTATGACTAATTATCGAAACATTTATCCTTATGAGCAGTACATGAGTGTCAGTATAAATGCTGAATTCATGAGGGACTTTGGCTTAATTTTTTAGCAACTTTAAAAATTCATAAAAAATCCAAATTTGATCAGAATCAGCTCAAACTTGATACACAGCATAAATACATGTATATGTATCGGAAAAAATTAGAATTTTCTGTTATTCATTTTTGACTAAATTTGGCCGGAGACCAAAGGCTATAGCCTTTGGTCATTGGCCCGAATTTTGAGCAGCTTAAAAAATTCATACAAAATCCAAATTTGATCAGAATCAGCTCAAATTACACAATACAAGAACATGTGAAAAAATTACAAAAATGAAGAATTCTCTCATAGTCATTTTTGACAAAAAGGCCTTTGGTCATTGGCCCAATTTATCAACTTTAAAAATCATAAATGCAAACTTGATCAAAATCAGCTTAAATTTTACTCCGCTAAAATTTAATTTAGCATTGCATTAATAAATTGACCATTGATGTTTGTATGATGCAACAACTGACTAACAACTAACAAGCTTGTAATTCCGGCATCATTTTTAACCCCCACATAAAAAATACTAATTATTAATATCTACCAGTCATTGTTCATCATTTATCAGTTGATCGATAATAAATAAGTAGTTATTACCTATAATAAAAATCTTAAAATATGATACATAAATTTATTGTAAAATTTACCCCTTCAAGTATTCGAGCCGCCATATTGAGTGTTTAAAAATTAAAATTAAAATAGGTGTGGTCGCCTACCTTGTGGGTGGAGTTTCCTTAGTGTGAAGTTGGAGAACTGAGAAGCAAAAAGAACTCAAAAAATTTAAAAAGAGGAGAATATGTACAAAGAGAAGATGAACAAAAATAGTAAATATTGATTAATAATTAATTCATGTGTATTAATCTCCTTATATCTATTAATTGTGTGTACATTTTGGCTCTGGGTGCTAAGATTCATGTGAGACTTGTTTTATTTTTGTATTATTATAATATTTATAGATTTATTGAGGTAAATGCTAAGTCCTTTTGCATTGTGAGGGATGGATAAGCTGTCACTGTTTTGGGAATCACTTATTGCTTGATGTATAGCAGCACAAGTCACTTGTTCTAATTAAATTAAAATGGTGAGTCACCTAATATTAGTAGTATTATATTTAGTACTATAATCATATATAAGATGTGTTATCATCATAAATATGAATTTTTTGATTATGTTGTAGTTCTTGCACTTCTATGGTCTATGTTCATTTACAAAAATATAATGTACGGTATACTGGGTCACACTTACAATGTACTACATGTATCTTTTCTGTATCTTTTTGGCATTGGGAGAGTATACTGCTGTATACAAAGCAGTATATCCTTAGTATACTGAGGCTCTTTTACATTTCAATAGAAAATTGTTTTCATACACCTAATACTAATATACAGCAGTTACCATGTACATATACATCAGACTGCCTTTTTCTTGTTTCATGTAGACGTGATAAGATACATATACATGTACATGTAATTATGTCAAAAGTTCTTTAGAGTATTTGATTTGCTGTGTTTCATCTACAGATACATGCATGTAACTGTGTCTGTCTCTATATTTTGAGTTATTGATAGTTTATAGAAACATTCATTGTTAGAATGAGTGTAGTATTATATTGTAATGTAGAGACCAAATTTATAAGTGACTGAAACTTATTTTTTTATTGTTCACTAGTTATACTAATAATTGGTTATTGGTAAATCAGGGTGATGAGATTGTTAGGTGGGAGTGTTTTTAGTCATGGGATGTTAATTTTTTCTAGGAATCAATACACGATAATTTAAATCAACGACCACCTTCTGTTAATATTTAGAATCTAAATTATGTGGTCATTCATTCATGTGTACTGTGTATTGCATGTATATACATTGTATGTGTACATGTGTGTCTATACTGTATAGTACAATGGTACAATGGTATAACTGTGGCTTTCCTTTATATGTACATGTACCTGATTTGTGCTAATATTTTATTGTGTTCTGAGTCTGACAACGCGCATGTGTATAATAGTGAATGTACATTGTAAGTACTAGAAATCACAAATACCTGGCCACATACATGTATGATTGCTTGAAACTTTATTGCCAGTCACCTATCCAAGTAATACATGTATATACAACACAACATTACAAGTGACCCTTTTTGCCTCAGATGCCTCCCATATTGTTGATAGAAGCTAATGGGAATAGATACTTATAAGAGCAACTGACTAGTGAGAGTGACTAGCATGAAAACCTTTGGACAAGGATGACCTTTTACTTTGAGGAATTCTGAGAGGCATAATAACACATAGCAAGGATTGTTTTCTGAGTTTAGGGGGACCTTTAATTTAGTTATACATAAAGGCCAAGAGTATTAATTATGAATAGCATGCACTTAACTATTGGTGAGGCTAATGTGCCTCAATTGGTAATGCATGTACATGTATGCATGCATATAAAATCACATTTACTACTCAAAAATATTGCCATAAAGTTTGCTTTAAAGTATATGGACTTATGCTAAAACACGTAGCCATTAAGAGACATGAATCTACTCTTGACAACACACTGAAATGACCCTCCACCAGATAAAACCAATACTGTTCACTTAGTGATTTAAACCATTAATTTTTCTTATTGTTCAACACACACATACTGTGACATTACACGTACATGTACACACAGCAGCAGTTCATCAATAAGATAGTTTTTAAGTCCTCAATGGCAGTTTCACTGCTAGGTATAGGTAGCGAGTGCCCAAATCGCTGTAGCAAGACCTCCTAATCCAACACCGACTAAAATAACCGTTATTATCCAGCAGGCAACACATTCAAGAGTAGGAGGATCAGCACAATAGCACTCTTTACATCCCATAGTGATACAGGTTAATAGGAATAGACACTTGAAGCTTGACAGAGAAGAACGACTAGTTGTTTATGGCGCTGGTCACTGACTCACTGCTGAGCTAGCTGTTTTTGAATGTTGCGTCAGTTATGGAAACCTGTAAACACCGGGACCGCCTCTCAATCGGAGGAATCCGGAGAAGTATAATGACATGTGACGTACACCAACACATAATGTTAGTTTGGTCAGTATTATCTTGATAGCAGTACTAGTGGTGGTGGTGAGGCCAGTATCTTGGAGACACCTTAAACTTATAGCTATACATAAACACTGAAATTGTACATGTACTATTATTATGAATGGCGTTCAGCTGTCAGTGAGATCTTGGTAGTGCATGTACACATGTACAATTGCATTTTCTACTCAACAAGATTATGCCCATGAATTTACTATAAAGTATACCTTAATTACCTACATGTAATACACATAACCAGTCACTTTTAAGTTGGTCATTTAAAGTCAACACTCTTTGTTAAAATTCACATACATTACATATAACATTACATGTACACACATTGTATAGCAGATGATCATTGATAGGATTGTTTTATTGATGTTTTGAATGGTGATTTCAATGCTAGGCATAAGTAGCAAGTGCCCAAATTGCTGCAACAAGAATCCCTAATCCAACGCAGACTAGAAAAACTGTTA